ACTAGAGGCCCCGTGGACGGGTCATACTGCTGCTGGCTTGGCTTCTGTCCGGCCAGTTGGGCGGCCTGAGGGGCGGGAGGCATCCCTCCTGCAAGACAGGAAAGACCCACCAGCACTGACTCTGGAGCTCGAAAGCATGACCAGGCGGCAGGGTTGTCATAGACCCGTCATGCAGAACGACCACGCAGTCGGGAGGCTTAACTGGCGGGAAATCTGAGTCACGTCAGATCGAATGATCTCAATGAGACACAGAAAGGACAGAGGCACTGGGCCTGGCAAGGCAGCACCGAGTCACCACAGGGTCCCTCGGCGGCAGCAACGAGGAAACACAGGAGTGGAAACGGGAGAGAAGCTTGAGGACAAGCACACGTGTGGCCCAGTGAAGGGACGGGAACTAGTCTCGGGGGCTTCACACTGAGCCGCAGCTCACGCACCCCAAGCTCAGGAGCCCTCCAACCAGGCCGGCTCACTGCCGTGCCTGAGCCTGAGCCTGCGCGGACGGTAGGCCTCGCACGCCTCTGAGCCAGCGGAGCCGCCTCGGACGCTGGGTCTTACCTTGGACTGTCGGCATTAACTGCTGGAGCGGAACGCCTGTGTTCACCCCTGGGGGCTGGAAAACCAGCCCTTGGTGACCCACGTCAAGCCGAGGCCGCTTAGACTGCTCTGGAATAATGTTCAGAAAAGGTGCCGTGTGATGTAAACATAAAACCACAAGCGTAGTAGAAAAAACGTGTGTTTTTATAATATTTAAACAGGGAGACCTTTCTGTGCATGAACCAAAATCCAAAAGCCGTAAAAGATGGATAAATGTGATTTCTTTTCATCCAAGATGTGCAAACATACGGAAAAGCATCATGAAAAGGCAAAGCTCAAGCAACACCCTCAGAGGCAACATCTGCAGCATGGAGGGCACAGGCGGGCGGACTCGACAGTCGGAAGCTCTTCCAGGTGACACGGCAAGTGTGGGGACGAGACAGAGCAAGGGGCAGAGCCACGGCTGGCAGAGGGACGACCCACAGGCCACAGGGGAAGGAACCAGACGCTGCTGATGGGATGAGAAAGGGACCCAACCCTCTGGAGGGCGCCCGACTGTCTCCAACACTTAAGCGCATGTCGCTCTGATCCATATTTCATTCTAGGAGTTTCCCCTTAAGATATACTGACATCTGGCCGGCGTGGCTCAGTGGTTGAGCATCGACTTATGAACCAGGTCACGGCTGGATTCCCGGTCAGGGCACAGGCCCGGGTTGCCGGCCTGATCCCCAGAGGGGGGCGTGCAGGAGGCAACCAATCAATGAGTCTCTCTCATCACTGATGTTTTTCTCTCTCTCCCTTCCTCTCTGAAATTAATAAAAAAATATTTTTAAAAAAGATATACTGATGAACTTGTAGGAAAAAATGTGGGACTAGTGTTCAATATGTCGATGGTACTAACAATGAACACTGACCAGGGCCTGAAGCATGAAGAAGGAACTGCCTGTGCGATGGAACGCTATGGCAGCCAGCACAGACGATGAAGCCCATGGATGGACAGACGGCCTCCTAGTGATGTCAGACCACAGTGTATATACGATCACACCGACTGTCTCCAGAAGGACAGGTGTCACAATGCTGGTGTGCAGACAGAACGTCTGTGGACATGCACAAGCGTTAACAGCAGCTACCTCTGTGGCTAGGGAGTGGGCAGGAAACCAGAGGTTCGAAACCAGAGGTAGGCTTAAGTGACACCTGAACTGTTTAAAAATGTTACACAGAATGTGTATGAACTTTATAATTTGAAGAAAAAAATTCAGTTTGAAAAAACGAATGACAACTTGAAAAAGCAGATGGTTTTACGTTCAATTGTGGCATGAGGACTAGAAAGCCCAGACGTGCACTTGAAAATCAAAACGAAATACACCTGCGTGACTGATGAGCCTGTCCCTTCAGGACACGTGAACATGCACATCAACACGCCCCAAATAAAAAGTAACTTTCACAGTAGGAAGAAACTAATCAACACCAAGCTCTTCAGCGTTCACCATTTAGAAACACGTGGCCACTGAGCTGTAAGGCCCGCTGCGAAGCCACTGGGCCTGGGGCCACCTGAGTCGTGCCCATGACAGTGACATACCTGCCGGGGGTCCCGCCTGCTGCCTCTTAAAGGGGTCCGTCTCTATCGCACTGCCAGCCCCTGCCACCAGGGTCCCAGCGAGGGCTTGCTGCTGAAAAGAAAAGGGAAGAGTCAGATTTTGGTCATTTAAGTACAAGAATGACGAAAACTATCAACGTTACCCGAGGATTGACCTTATTTCTTTTTAATGAAAGAAATATCACCTACCCAATGTAGTTAAATATACATATGCAATGTATATTTCTGTGAGTGATTTAAAGCTCTAACTTACCTCTGGAAGAAAAAAAAGGACTTATAAAAGACCTATCATTCTGGTTTTAAATGAAACTTCGGGTCAGTGCGAACCTACACGAGCTGGCTGGCACACGGAGCAGCAGGGGGGCTGCTGCAGGAAACGGGAGTCTGAGGTGGACTCCAGCTTAGCTTCCCTGGCCAGTCACACTGCCTGTCATCACTTACCCCCAAAACCAAGCTGAATAATGCAAAGAAAGATTGGAACTGTTTTCCTACAGGAAAATGACACTAAAACCCCAATTAGTAAGTACGATTGACTTGGATCTGCAAATGGTGTGTGGACAGTGGGCCCTCCGTGACCTACGTGGTGTGTGAAACAGAGGTCGCTGAATGTCTGAATGACAGCCGCTGGCCAAGGCAGAGCGCAGTCTGGCGCCTGCACCTTCCACGCTGCACCTCGACATGCAGGGATGCTAAACGCTATGGATGATGTCTAAGAGCTGCCCATCGCTGATCTTGTTTAATGACTCAATGACGATCACTCTACTTAGTGAAGCATTTTAAATGCAGAAGTCACAAGTGCCTAAACCACGTCGCTGTTCCATGAGGGGTTGCTGACCCCCGCGGCCCTTGGCGTGGACATGACACGGCCGGTTCCAGCCAGGCTGCAGGCCACTAGCTCCCGACAGCTCAGAGTGACTAAGGGGGAGTAAGCACCCGGTTACATTTAAGGAAGATGGGGGAGGAGGGGGTGGGAGGGAGAGAGAAGGCAGGAGAAAAGAATGATTTGAAAATCAGGTGATATGAACAGTGGTTATCTCTGGGGACAGAATTACAGGGAATTAAGTTATCATCTGTGTGTGTGTGCACCTTTCTAAATTTTCCAAATGTTTCACAACGAACACGTATTACTTATCAGAGGGGTTGTTGTTATTTTTAACAGAAGAAAGTGAGACATGCTCGGTGTCAAGTCCGTCACACTGGACCAAAAGCACCCAAACACACAAACTCCGGAAGAAGCGTAACTTGGGGACCAGGGAACAGCCTCGGGGAGGGGCCTGGGGCCTGCAGAGAGGAGGGAAAGGGCCAGAGTGGGTTCTGGTGCCACGACACTGCATGAGGGCCTGCCTGGGCCATGCCACGCTGCCTGCAGATGACGGGGGCAGGGCAGGAAGCCAGCAGTGAGGGGGGGACTGGCTACAGGACCAGGCCGGACAAGGAGAGGCGGGCTTTCTCCATCAACGCCGCTGCCTCCTGACCAGGCAGACACAAATGCCACGCACCCACTAAGGTTCCAGGCGCCGACGCTCGGGAGACGGAGTGCCCGGCTCCAATTCAATCACCGTGGCTCACTGTGGAAGAAAAGCAACCCACACTCCTCCGGCGCGCTGCAACCTGCCAGTCACCCCTTCGAAATCCAAGTCACAACAACTCCAAAGCCCAAAGAAACAGGAAAGCATGAGCCACACTCAAAGCCACCGGAGGACAGCCAACAGCGGGCCCACGTGCTGGAACTGGGCAAGGATCTGCCCGTGGCTTTGATAACGGCACCCAGGACATAAATACATCAGCATGAAGGACAGAAGGAACTATTCAAACAGAAAACCAAACGCAGATTCTAAACCTGAAAACTAAAATATCTGAAATAAAAACACACCGGAAGGCAGGATAGCAGAGGGGGGGGGGGGGGGGGGGTCAGTGAACTGAAACAGTCCCGGGAGAGGACCAGAGGCCTGGACCTGGGACGCGCTGGGGGCTTCGGTCACAGGACAGTGCAGTGCTGCTCAAGGGTGATGGACAGATGGACAGAACCGAGTGGGGAGCCCAGCAGGGGGCCCACAGTGACTGCCTGCAGGCTGGGAGCAACCAGAAGGAATGGGAAGTCTTTTCAACAAAATGGTGCTCGAGGACGAGATCCCTGTGAAAACGGATGAAAATGACAACTTCCCAGCAGACACGCTGGGGGAAGGGCCAGCCTCTCCCCCGATCCTGCACTGCCACCAACTCCTGGTTTCAGGGTGACCTTTAGTGTTTAATACTATCTTTAGTTTCTTTTTAAAAATATATACTTGTATTGATTTCAGAGAGGAAGGAAGAGGGAGAGAGAGAGAAACATCAATGATGAGAGAATCATGGACCGGCTGCCTCCTGCACACCCCACACTGGGGATCAAGCCCACAACCAGGCATGTATCCTGACCAGGAATCGAAGTGTGACCTCCTGGTTCATAGGTTGACGCTCAACCAGTGAGCCACGCTGGCTGGGCTATCTTTAGTTTCTTATACTACCTTCATGATTATTTTATCGGGAATGATACTGCTGACTTTCAAATACAAACTGGCTCAGCTGGTGTGGCTCAGTGGTTGAACATCGACTTATGAACCAGGAGGTCATGGTTCAATTCCTGGTCAGGACACATGCCTGATTGTGGGCTTGAGTGTAAGCAGCAGCCAATCAATGATTCTCATCATTGATGTTTCTCCCTCTCTTGCTCCCTTCCTCTCTGAAATCAATAAAAAAAAATATAGTTAAAAAAAGAACGATTATTTTTTAAAGTAAATAAAATGTAGAGAACGTGTTAAATAAAGTGTAAAGACACTGTGTTGACTGGTATATATGTAAGATAATATAAAAAATCTGTTAGGATGATGGGATTATGGATAATTATTCATTTTCTCTAACAGAAACATCACTGATAGTCTGTTTAGAATGATTCTTTTCATAAACGAACATGTGTGCATGTATGTATTACTTTATATAGAACACCTCTGCACTCAACAATATGCCTCAAATTTCTATGGGAGCAGACAGAAATCAATACAGATGAAATACAGGGAACTTTACATTTATTTCTAGCTTCATTAACCCATGCACATTGGTCAACATAAAACATCTACAACTGGTTGTAAATAAGAAAACTCACGCTGAGATTTCTTCCAAAGAAAACAAAGGATGTTTCTCATTTCAACTCTTTTCTGAGACTCCCCCCTTTCCCATGAAATCCACTACAGTTTGCCTGAGAAACCTACCAGCCAAAGGGAGATTTCTTGGTTTTCCTTTTAGTGTTGTAAATATTTTTTATTATGATATTGGAGGCCCAGTGCATGAACTCGTGCACCAGTGGGGTCCCTCGGCCTGGCCTGCAGGGTGGGGCCGAAGCTGGCTCTCCGACATCCCCCGAGGGGTCCTGGGTTGCGAGAGGGCACAGACCAAGCTGAGGGACCCACTGGTGCACGATCAATCGGGGCGGGGAGGGACGCGCGAGGGCTCCAGGGCGTGTCCGGCCCATCTTGCTCAGTCCTAAGGCCGACGCTCTATCCACTGAGCCAAACCGGTTACGGCTAGTACGCTTTGATTGGTTGAACTGCCAACTGGTTGACCAAACACTTAGCATATTAGGCTTTTATTGTATAGGATATCCTATATACAAAAAAATTAACATATGTATGCAATTTTTAAAGCATAGTAAAGTTCATCAGAATTTAAATGGTGGAATGTGGAGATTGATTGAAGACTCAAACTTTTCTCTCTGTTCAACATTTTTCATAGTAAAATGTTGAGGAGGAAAGTGGAAAACCTTATACATAGTTGAAAACGGTACTACAGGGACCACCCATGGAGTCGTCACCAGGCTTACGAAACAGCCTGCTCTGTGCCTTGGAGATGCGGAGCGGGAGGGAGCCCTGACCACCGGGGCAGGTGCTGCTGCCTGATCGGGACGCTTCCCGCCCGCGGTGCCCTCACCTGCAGCGCTAGCGCCACAGCGTCTGCTGGTTCTGCTTCCTAGCGAGCTTTCCCTGAAGGAAGTCTGCACCTGTCTCCTGGAAGCCCTTCCTCTGCCCCAGAGACCAGCCCTCGCAGCACCCGTGCTGTGACTGACGACTCCCTCTGCCGACTGGAATATATGTGAGCATTCCTCTGTCGAGGGTGCATGATCGCTGGTCTGCGCTGCTGGTGGTGGTGAGCATTTCCATTCTTTCCAGTTTGGGGCTTTTATAGACAAGGCTTTCTGGTGCACACACGTGAGAGTAACCTTGGAGCTTCTGCTGGTCAAAGGGTTTCCACGCTCCCCTCCTCCACGCTCGCTCCCATCAGAAGTGGTGGGAATCCCACTCATCACATCAGATTCTGTCCAATGTCATTTCCGGCAACCTGGTGAGTGCGACAGTGAGTCGCTGTGAAGACCGCACATCATCTTCACCAGCCTGCAGGCCCTCCTGGCATGCACTGCCCCGCTGTTCCAACGCAAGCACCTGCCAGAGCGTCCACACGCTCCTCTATGCACTCGCAGTAACTCGCAGGTGCCCAGGAGTCAATTCTGAGTCTCCAATTGAACAAATCTGATCTTCAACTGTACCAAACGCACTAGCACCTAGGCACTGGGTTCCAATGAGTTTTCTCCACCAACAGGAAGTCGGATCCGTGGAGCAATGCCACAGCCCTGGGCTGCAGAAAGAAATGTGCCCAACGAGCCTCAGCATCTTGTGCCAGAAAGGACGTACTCACCGGAGAAGTGCTCGAGCGCGTCTCAGAGGAGGGGCGTCAGAAGTGCGCGCGAGCCAGGGCGGGGAGGGGCACCCAAGGCCCAAATCACAGATAACTGGGCCATCGAGAGCAGTGGAGGGGCCTGAGCAGCAGATGCCGAGCAGGGGGCACACGGGGATGTGACGTAAGTGGACATCTTGAAAGGCATGTGGGTTAACGGGCCCTTGTCACATCTAAGTTGTGTACACTCCCTACTTACAAACTATACCTCAATACCCATAATTCACCATATCTATAGACCAAAGAAGAAAAACATCACAAGATCATGTGAATAGACACAGAAATTGCATTTGACACAATTCAACATCCATTCATGATAAATAGTATAATTAGAGGAATTTCCTTAACCTGATAAAGGACACCTACAACTTCTACAGCTAACATCAGACCCAACAGTGAAAGACTAAGTGCTTTCCCGCTAAGACTGGGAAGATGGGAAGAATGTCTGTTCTCACCACTCCTATCCTGGTTTTGCCAATGCAATAAGGCAAGAAAAAGAAGTAAACATATAGCTAGGAAAAGAAAAAGTCCTGCTTTCCTTGCAGACATGATTCTCTCTGTTGAATATATTACAGAATCCACCAAAAAAGCTCCTGAAATGAATAAATGAGTTTAAGTTGCAGAATACAGGTTCAAATAATAAACTGTATTCTTATATATAGAATGTCCCCCCCCCAAAAAAAACAAAAAAACGTATACACACACTTTGAATAATGACAAAGGCAGCGTTTATTAAAATACATTTAACTCCCAAACTTGAGCTATCAGCTGTTCAAGTGTGTACACATTTTTTTGAGACACTCGGTACTTGCAATGAACAACAACATTTTAAAGATATAACTACCGGTTACAATTCCACAGAGAAACAGGAATACTGGGGAATAAATATAACAAAATACACATGGAATTGGGGTGCTGAACACTACAAAACAGTGAAGAAAGAAAACAAAGAAGACCACAATACATGGAGAGATGTACCATATTCCTGAACTGAAAGATGCAATATTGTCAAGACATTTCTTCTCAACAAACTCATCAACGAACGCAATGTAATCTCAGTCAAAACCCTGGTCGGATGTTGTGTAGATATCAAAAAAAGAGAAAGATTTTAAAAAAGAACCAAGTTGCCACCTGGGGTGAGGAATGGTACCACCGCTGTGGAAAAGGTAGGCAGTCTGTTAGGGAGTTGAACATACACACACTTACCAAACAACCCAGCAATCTGTCCCCTAGGGATTTACCCAAATGAAGGCCTATGTTCACCTGAAAAACAGTCTGTGGACATTCACGGCCACTTTACCCCTAAGTTCATCACTCAGCGCAACAGAAATATGCACCACGTGGGTGACTCTCCAGTGTGCCGTGCCCACTGCAAGCAGCCAGTGCGACTCCACTGACGCCTCATCTGGAAAAGGCACCACCACAGCGGTGCAGACAAAGGGAAGGGAGGGCGAGGCTCGGCCACAGAGACACGCGAGGGAGCCGCTGGGGGTTGGCACAATTCCTGTTCGTGACTGTCGTGGTCATTACACAGCTTCCCGTGTTTGTCAAAACTCACGGAACTACAGACCAAAAGGTGTCAATTCTACTGAGTTAATAAGTGCAAATGAACAAATAAATAAATCGTTAGTGACATGTTATAACCCACTGACAAAAGAATCCACATGTAAAATACATCAACTGAAAAGAAAGTGTGTCATTACAGCAGAATGCCAACTAACAAACGTAAAAGGAATAATGGAATTAGAAAGTCCATTCCGCAATCTGTAAGGTGACAACTGAGTCAGGACTCATCGGTAGATGCAACAGATGCTAGAATTAGTGGTCGAACGTTTAATGAGATCCTAGATATTTATATGGTCTTGAACTATCTTCCCACAAATTCTATATCATTCACCCAAAGAAAAGCAATAACCTTCCACTGGAAAAGCCTCAGGGGCCAGTGAAGGACAGGTGACATCACGGCTTTCTCATGTGGCACCCTGAGCTGCACACAGTCACTTCTGTGATATCCCCTCAAAACTGCATGACCCGCATCAGACACAGAAACATCCGACAAGCCCACATCAAAGGACACACTACAAAACAGATGGCTCCTTCTCAAAAATGCCAAGGTCCCGAGAGCCTGAGGGGCCGGCCCAGAGGAAGGAAGACCAAAGGTCCCAGACCGAGGGAAACACTAGACGACCATCCGGAGAGGAGACAGCTGCCTGAGCTGCGGCCTCACCACCATACAGCGTCACTGCAATTTGCGATCTGAAGGTCAGGCCAGCGAACACTCTCACCCAGGCCGTGCGGAAGTATGTAGGGATAAAAGGGCATGAGGGGATGTCTGCAACTTCCTGTCAATTAGCTCAGGGGGAGATGTGTGTGCAAATATGAGAGAGAGAATGAAAGGAATGCAAACGGGGCAAACACGTAACCACTGGTGAATCTGGGTGAGGACTATCAGGGGAGCTCTTTGTACTGTCACAGCAACTTCTACCTATGTTTGAAATTATATCAAAATTAAAAGTAAAATATTGAAATAACTATGTATGGTGTACCAGATGGGTATCAGATGTATGGTTGATCTCTTTGTAGGTTACACAAGGGTCTAATCACTGTTATACACCCGAAAGTAATATAATATTATATGTCAACTGTAGCTGAGAAATAAAAAAATTATTTTAAAAATTTAAAAGACTTATCACCACAAAGATGAAACTGCTTTCAGAACCCAGCACAATCCATTCCAAAACTACGAGACTCAGACCTATACTTTTAGATCCTCAGCACTGTTACTGGAACACTGAGAAACTTAATTTCCAAAAATTGTAAATAATCAGTCTGCATTCACTAACACCCATTTAGAAGCCTGAGGCCCTAATTTCAGAGCTTTCACCTCAGTTTCTTCCAGCTGAGAAAATGTCAAGTTATCATCTGCTTAAATCTTTCTTTCCTTGTTTCTGTTTTGCACTGTTCTCAGAAATACAGAGAGAAGACACAGAGAGCCCACAGGGGACAGAGCACACGAGGGTCCTGGCACGCAGACAGGCTGAGGGTTAGAGGACATGCACACTAAGCTACGGCCGCAGCACGGTCAACACAAAACAGTGCATTAGCTCTGGACTGTCGTTCACTCATGCAACTTAACTTTATCGTTCTATATGCAGGAAGACTTCTTTATTTTTTTTAAAATAAGGAATGGGCTCTGGAAAAAATGCTAAGAGCAAATAGTCATTGAAGGTTAAAATACCTGGATGAAGGGAAAGTTTGGGATGAGGCTACATTTGAGAACCATTGACAAGTACCTGAAATGGTTGCTGCTGGGATGAAAAAGCAGCAGAAACATTTGGCGGAAGCTGGGTTGCTATAGCAACGGGAGTACCAGTCTGCCCATCCTTTCCTGTCACAACCTTTACCTGAGAGGAAATATTTTGAGAAAAAAAGGCAACATGATTTTTAAGACTGCTCAAAATTTTGTTAGAATTTTACTGCTGACAGCTCACTGATGTTTGCTGTTTAAAAATGGAATGTTTTTGCATCAAATTCTGCAAAAAGACAACGAACTAATTTATGACAGATGTATAACATAGCAACCTAACTCAGCTGCAAATCTTGCAGGAACTCCCATTTGAGTCACAGGTGCAATCTCCTGAGTTGCACAATTGCACATTCTAGACGTGGGGCCGGCAGGCAGTCCAATAGCGAAGCCCGACCACCTCAGGCAGTCCGCAGAGCGGCCACGCCATCAGCCACCACGTGGGGGTCAGGAGGGAGGGTCCAGTTCAACAGGAAGTTATAAAGGGACTTTCTTGCCATAAGCACAGATAAGGGCACTGACCCACAGACAACTGGTGTACTAACATAAAGATAACGGAATTTCACTATTTCAGAGGTGAAATCCTCAAAATAACCAGGTAACCATTTGGAAAATAAAAATGGTCCGTCCTGGAAAGGGTGTTAAAGAAAACACGAAATGGCAGAGCCACACAGACACGCCCATACAGGTCGAGGACGACTGAGCAAAGAGACCAGTTTTGCTCACCAAAGGCCGATTTCTTTGCAGAAGAGTGACAAAGACTCAGGTATTTCAGCCGTCTCCTGGAACAAAGTCAGCTGCACCCACATATCGTACACTACACAACACAAAGGCACACGTACAGTGCACGACAGCCACCTCACGCTCACTGCTGGGATCAGCTTTTTTCAGGAAGTGCAGGTAATGGGTTGGAATCACAATGGTATCAAGAATCTCAATTCGGGCATTTATTAAGCACCCATTCCAGGCACCCAAAATTTTCAGTTTAAAAAAAGATGCCATCTTAAATAGCATTCGTAGGTATTTATAAAAGTGAATTTAAAATATGATCTCAAAGCTAAGACTACATCTAAAAATTGGTTTTTGCCATAACTATTTTAATCATGAAAACACCATATCAATATTTACATTTATTTATACTTAAGCCCCTTTTTTAAAATCCATATTCATGATGATTCAATGGGGGGACCTATTTCAGTAAAATGTGAAAACTGGGAAACCAGCCCAAGGTGTGCACCCCCACAGGCCAGGGGCACAGGCTGCAGCCCACAGGTCAGCTCTCCATCCGGAGCGGAGTCTCTGCTCTCAATGAAGGCACCTGGTCTGCCCCTGCCCCCCAACTATCAGGGCAGCTCTTCCCTCCTGCGAAGAAAACAGCAACATCCACCTTCCACGTTACTCCTGGGTCAAATCCTTATGAAACCACGTCTGAGGAGCCCCCCGGGCTCACAGGGTCTCTTGTGTTCACAGCTGCCTAGACTCACACCTGCGCAGCGCAGTCCTCTAATTATTAAACTGCTGTGTCTCACCTCATCGTTGATAACCTCAGACTTCTCTTCCTCCTCCTCTTCCTCCTCCTCCTCCTCCTCCAGGTCCAGATCGTTCTGCCGGAGATAAGCTTGTAACGGGGCGTAGTGTTTCTTCTTGAAAGCCAGGAAATCCATCATGTTCCCTTGCAGGTGTTGCAGGAAGAACAGCTCGATCAGGTACTCCTTGAAGGCCTCCCTCAAAGCCTCCATCTCCCGGAGGTGAGAGTCCAGGCATTGCTTCCGCATCTGGGCCAGCTCTGGGGAGGCTGGGGGGATCTCCTCCAGCTTCTTGGGTGTCTTCCTGCTCCCCGAGCACGAGAGGGGAAGGCTGGAGAGACCCGGGGGCACCGAGGTTCTGGAAGGGCTGCTGGGGGGCGGCGGGGATGTCATCCCGAACGCCGAAGCCCCCCCAACCCCGGGCAGCAGAGGCCGGGTCAGTGGTGGCCCCTGCAGCACCTGCTGCTGCTGCTGCTGCTGCTGGACCAGCTGCCCCTGGATGATGCTGCTGATCTGGGGCGGCAGGCTGGCAGTGGTGATGTGGCCGGGGCTGGCCAAGGGCGGCAGGCCAGCTCCGCCCGAGGCCGCGGGGCTCTGGGGTCCCAGGTGGTGCACGGTCCCCCCGGGCTGCCCGTGGGGCTGGGACAGTCTCCGTTCTCGCATCGCAATGGGAGTCCCTGTATGCTGCAGCGGGACTGGGGCTCCCTGGGCCATCTGGGCGAGGCCCGAGCCCTCCTGGAACACGAAGTGCCCGCCCGTGGACGGGCTCAAGCTGATCTGCCTCACCAGCACACTGGCATCCACGAAGCCCCCGGTGGGGCTGCTGCTGCACAGGC